CTATGAGTTGGTTCCGACTCGATGGCACCTGACAACAACAACAACCTTCAAAATATAAAGAGGCTTGGGAGCATGGTGGGTTCTGGAGCCATGCTGCTAACAACAGTTTGAACCTTCCAGCCTCGCTAAAGAAGATGTAGGTTTCTGCCACAGTGATCGTTTACAGCCTCGGAAATCCTATACAGGATCACTATGTGTTTTTAGCACAATACCACTACTACTTGTTTTTAAGTGCTATTGAGTCAGTTCTGACTCATAGTGACCCACTATAGAGTTACCAAGGAGTGGCTGGTGAGTTTGAACCACCAAGCTTGTGGTTCAAAGCAATCTTGTGGTCGGTCCTGCGCTTATCTGACAATATTACCCCAGAACTCCACCTTCCAAATCCATTTTGAGTCTGACTGTATTTAATTACTTCATTGCTACCACTTTAGTCTATGTCACTGTTACTTCTTGCCTAGATTAAAACAAACTCTTCTAATTTAGTTCACTTCTGTCATCCTACCCCCCGACTTCCCTCCTTTCACTTGTCTATTCTCAACATAGAACTAAAACAAACCTTGTAGCCAGATCCTGTCACTTCTCTGACCAAATCACTCAGGTACTCAACATAGAGCTCACTTGGATTGAAACTAAAGCCTTTAAAATGCCAGATAATAAATGTACTTTAGTATCTACTTCCCATTACTTCTCTGACCTCAATAGGTCCCTCTGTTGTCTCTGTCTGGCATTTCCTTCACTCTAGCTATAAAGGCTTTCATCTCATTCTTCACAATATTCAGAACGTTTCTGCTTCAGGATTTTGGTAATTGATGTTCCATCTCCCTACAGTATAATTCCCCAGATACGGTCTTGGCTTCATCCTCTCTGCCTTCATGTCTATGTTCAAATGTCACCCTCTCAGTGAATTCTGCCCTGGATACTTTATTTTAAATAGTCACAAACCACATTAGTGCAGCTCCTCTCTTGTTTCATTTTCCTCATAGCATTTAACATCAAATGACATTGATCGTCTTCCTCACAGAATTTAAACCCTGTGAGAGGTTGGAGATTTGTCTTTTTTTGTTGCTCATTTCTATACCTTCTTCATGCAGAAAAGTGATTGGCACAGAGTAGTTAGCTGCTCAGTAAACATTCTGAAATACTGAACAAATTAATTCATTTCTGTAACTTTTTTTTGCTTCTATAATAGCATCCTAACACAAAATCATGATTGATCCTGGCAAATACTCTAACTCACATTAGGACAATGTAGCAGATGTTTGGGGAATCAACTTCAAAGAATTAAGAAGGAATTTTAAAATCCTGTGATACCTATAGTAAAAACTTGTTATAACTTCATTAAACTTTAAAATGTTTTCAGACAGTTCCTTCTAATCTTTGGAAGTTTACTACTGGCTGTGGACCAAGAAATTTCGTTCTAGATATTGTAAAATATCCACTCTGAAACCTCAAATATTCCGAACATGAGTCACAAATTCTTAACTTTTTAAGAATTGTATTATTTCCCCTGTTAGCCAAGAAGCACAAGATAGATTAATTTTTGCTAGTGTATCTTCATACAATGGTGAGCTTTTGATAAAAATATTTTTGTCTTATAGTTTTAATTGATATTGAACAGTCAGGAATGTATGAAGATTTCACTTCTTTATATAACAACATCGTATAAACATAAAGTGAAGGCTTTGTCTTGCTCAGTTTTGTTTTGCTTCGTTGTCATTGTTCCATTGTCTCATGCCTGATTTCTAACTTGTGTGCTTTGCTTACCTTTATGACTGAGGCTGTTGCCTTCAGGAATGAATGGAAATTTTTCTTTTATATATTTCTTATTCTATAATCATTTTCAAACATTTGCTCTAAAAGGTCCACAGTGTCATGCAGACTGGAGTACTATGTTGAACGTGTGTAGGAAATGGCATAATACAATACTTTAATACTTTTCTAAAACACTCCAACAACCCTTTCTTGGGTGAGTGTAAATTTAAGATTTTTTGTTCGTTTCTCAAGGAAAAACACAAATCACTTTATAACAATTGTAATGCTATTCTAGTCCTGAACTTTGAAACTATCTAACTTTTTAATCCATTTAACGTACTAAAAAATTTGGTGAGTTTCATCATAAAACAACATTCAATCCAGTGATACCTATTTTATCATTTCTATCCAGAATCTGTAAATAAATAGATGCAGGAGAGTGTGAAAACTGCAGCTTCTGTCAAAATGTTTCTGGAGCTAAAGTGTGGTTTGATTATGATGCTAATATTTTAAAGTGAAAAAGTCCAGAGTAGTGACTTACCAAAATTAGATGCATATTCTCCAATGAATCGCTTGGTGAGGAACCTTACTGTAAGAGCTGCAAGATAAGCAAGTCTAATTGGGAGACTATTCTGTTTAAAAATATAGATAATTTAGGTAACATGAGGCAATTTATCATTCAGGTAAAAAATCAGCATGCATTTATGAAGAACTTTAAAACATTACTACATTTTGTAGGATAAGCACTGGACTGCTAACAGCAAGGTTGGCAGTTCAAACCCACTAGCCACTCCTGTGAAACCCTATGCAGGGTCACTGTGAGTCAGAACTGACATAAGGGCACTTAAGAGCAACACCAACAATCTAAGTGATAGTCATCAAGATCTCCAATTTACAGTCATAATGATTATGATGCCAGATAAAAAGTGATCTTACAGTGTTGTACAGTCAAATTATTATGTAATTAATTCATTAATGCAAATACATAGGCAACTTATCTTTTGAAACACACATTTCTTATTAAACTTGAGATATAAGAATTATGGCATCTCTTTATTTTCCTGACAAGAAACATGTCAAGAGTGAGGAAGAGAAAATCAAACATTTGCAGTTGTTTAAGGGTATGTTGCTGTTGCTAGTTAAAAGGTTTAAAAATCCAAGAAATGGGGAAGGAATCTCTAGTGGGGGTTTATTGTATTGCAGCTACCAGCTCTAACCCATTGGTAGGTTCATTTAGCTCAGGTGGTTCCCATGGCATCTTTATTGCTGTCAGAAGGTGGTTAAAAAAGGGGGCTTTCTTCTAAAATTAAGGCATCTGCTGCTCAGCACCAATGACAACAAAGTCTTGGCCTTCCAGAGTTCTTTAATCCAGGAATGCTTCATTAAAAAATTAAGATACAAACTTCCATGCATATGTTTCTACTCTAGGTCTCAGAGCAGAAAGAGTTTGCTCCCCACAAAGTCATTGTTTGACCACTGGTGGGTCTGGAGACAGGTGTGTGAGGATAAGATGTTGGTGAGAAAAGAATGGTACAGTTTCCTGTTTGTCCTATGAATTTTAAGCACTAGTGAGTAGAGTAAGACATATACAAATGTTTCATATCTTCATATAACTGCTATAAGTTTATAGATATCTGGTTATTAAAATGAAAGTTGTTAATAAAATACGAATATGATCCCAGTAAGAGTGTTTGGAAAATTATTGGATCTGTATATTCATGTATACATAAGCCTATATATAGTATATGACTCTTTTTTAATTATACCTTATATCATAGAAAACATTACCACTCACCAGATTTGCCTGTTCCTTCACCACCCAAGACAGCAAGCTTCACCTCATTCATCTTGCTTTTCTGCTCCTTCTTGGTTAGCTCTGTCTTCAGGAACTATGCTGACTTCAGTCAAGCATATGTTTCTTGATTTTCTTTTTATTGCTGGTCTCATTTCTCTAAGGTCAACTCCTCCCCATAGCCTAGTACCCAATTATAACTTTAAAAGTGTTTTCCTCTAGGAAGTTTTCAACATACTCCATTTTTTATTTATAAATATTGGAGTTACTATTTGGAGACTGGAGGCTTTTAAGCCAATAGTTATGCACATTAACGGAGTCCCAACTACCATTTCTTTATTGCTGTATGTCTAGAATCTGCCTCTTTTAAGAGCCTAGGAAAATAAACTCTTTCACTAAGACAAATTTTAGGTAATGACTAAACTGCCTACAAATTTACTTTGATTTGATCAATTTAGTTTTTTTCTTTCTTTCTTTTTTTTTTTTTTTATCCCGCACTCCCCTAGTTTTTTCTTTTAACTTCTGAGCCTATATCTTCTAGGATTTCTAATATGAAAGGCAATGGGAATAATTAGCTCATTTGTGAATAGAAATGAAAGAAGGAATAAAAGAACAACCTAGGTTGCATTAGTATGAGGAAGATGATAATATAAATTAATGTCCAGGCCATATTTTTGAGTCAGATGCAACTTTCAAGGAGAAGTATGGTCACAACACAGTTTCAACACCACTCGTCTGTTAGTTTGCTGTACTGTAGAGGCTTTCATGTTGTGATTCTGGAAGCTATGCCACCAGCAGTGTCACCTATGGTGACAAGGTTTCAGATGACCTTCCAGACTGAGAAAAACTAGAAAGGAAGAGAGACTGACTACTTCCAAATATTTAGTAATTGAAAACGTCATGATAACAGTGGAATAATGTCCAGTAGCACCAGAATATTGAATGTAGAAACATGATAATGAACACCAGAATATTGGCTGATATAATGCCAGAAAATAAATCCCTGGTTTTGGAAGGTACTCAGAACACAACTGGGGAAGAGCCGCTTCTTCAAAGTACAGTTGATGGTTGTGACAAGAATGGAGTAAAGTTTTCTGGACCTTCATTTGCTGTTGGGCACAACTCAAAATGAAGAGATACAGCTGTAAACATCCATTAAAAATTGGAACATGGAATGTATGAAGTATGAATCTAGGAAAATTGGAAGTTGTCAAAAATGAAATGGAATGCATAAACATCACATTCTATATATGAGCTGAAATGAACTGGTACTATCATTTTGAATCTGACAACTACATGGTTTATGCTGAAATGACAAATTGAAGAGCAGTGGCATCACCTTCATCATTAAAAGAACATTTCAATATGTAACTTGAAGTGCAATGTTGTCTGTGACAGGATAGTATCCATATGCCTACAAGGAAGACCAATTAATACCACTATTATTCAAATATACACACCAACTACTGAATCCAGTGATGATGAAATTGAAGAATTCTACCAAATATTTCACTCTGAAATTGATCAAATATGTGTTCAAGATGTATTGATAATTACTGATAATTGAAATGCAAAGGTTGGAAACAAGAAGGATCGGTTATTGGAAAATACGTCCTTGGTGATAGAAATGATGCTGGAGATCACATGACAGAATTTTGCAAGACTCGTGACATGTTCATTTCCAATACCTTTTTTAAATAACATAAAAAATGTTATATGGACCTCATCTAATGGAATACACAGAAATCACACTTACTACGTCTGTGGAAAGAGACAGTGGAAAAGTTCTATATCATCATTCAAAATAAGATCAGGTCAGACTATGGACCAAATCATGAATTGCTCAAATGCAAGTTCAGGCTGAAGCAGAAGAAAATTAAAACAAGTCAACAAAAAACAAAATATGATCTTGCACAAACTGATTTGATAAATTAGACACTAATGACTGAAGACCACAAGAGTTGTAGGAGGACATCAAGAACAACATAAAGGTAAAAAGCAAAAGGTCATTAAGAAGACAAAAAACAAGAAAAAGACCAAAATGGATGTCAGAGAGGCTCTGAAACTTACTCTCCAGGGTAGAGTTGCTATTGCAAATGGAAGTAATGAGGAGGTTAGAGCTGAATAGAAAATTTCGAAGAGCAGTTCCAGAAGACAAAGTCAAATATTATAACGAAATATGCAAATATCTGGAATTAGAAACCAAAAGGGAAGAACACACTCAGCATTTATAGAGCTGAGGAAACTGAAGTAAAAATAAAAGCCTCAATTTGCAATACTGAAGAATTCTATGGACAAAATATTGGATGATGCAGAAAGTATCAAAAGAAGATAGAAGGAATACCCGGAGTCACTGTAACAAAAATAAATGGTCTATGTTCAACTGTTTCAACAGATAGCATATGATCTAGAGGTAACAGTAATGAAGGAAGAAATCCAAGGTGCAGTGAAGGCATTGGCAAAGACTCTGGGAATTATGGAATACAAATGGAAATCTTAGCAGAAACTGATGTGGCACTGGAGACATTCATTCATTTAAACCAAGAAATTTGGAAGCCATCTCCCTGGGCAATGGATTGGAAGAGATTCTTATCTGTGACATTCTGAAAAGAGTTGACCATTTATAATGTGGAAACCATCGGACAATATCATTAATATCATATGCAAGTAAAATTTTGCTAAAAATAATTTTTAAATGGCTGCAGCAGTACATTGACAGAGAACTTTCAGAGGTTCAAGCCAGATTCAGACAAGGACTTGGGGTGAGGAATAGCATTGCTTATGGCAGATGAATCTTGGCTGAAAGAAGAGAATTCCAGAAATATGTACACCTGTGTTTTATTGACTACACAAAGGCTTTCAATTGTGTCGATCATGGCAAGCTGTGACAGCATTATGGAGAATGAGTATTCAGAACACTTAATTGTGCTCATGAAGAACCTCTACATAGATCAAGAGGCAGTTGTTCAAGCAAAGCAAGAGCACACCGAATGTTTTAAAATTAGGAAAGGTGTGCATCACGGTTTTATTCTTTCACCATACTTATTCAATCTGTATGCTAAGCAAATATTCCAAGAAGCTGAATTATATGAAGAAGAACGTGGCATCAAGATTGGAGGAAGACTCATTAAATGATGCATTGCATTAGGCAAATCTGCTATATAAGGCCTCTTTAAAGTGCTCAAGAGCAAAGATGTCAGTTTGATGACTAAGATATACATGATTCAAGCTATGGTATTTTCAATAACTTCATATGCATGTGAAAGTTGGACAGTAAATAAGGAAGACCGTAGAAGAATTGATGAATTTGAGTTACGGTGTTGAAGGAGAATATTGAAAGTACTATATGTACTGCTAAAAGAACAAATCAATCTGTTTTAGATGAAGTACAACCAGAATGCTCTCTGGAAGCCAGAATTGCCTGACTTTACTGAGATCCAATCACTCTTAAAATAACTATTTCAAGGAGCCTCAAAGAAAAGTGATATCTGGCTATATCAGATCTACTCAGTTGGGAGTAAGTTCGCTTTCAATGATCTCAAGGTCCATCATATAACATCCATAACTCTGTTTGACAAACTACTGTCTCTTCTTAAAAATCTGAGAGTCTCACCCAAGCCATCCAGCTTGAGGATGCTATGTGCTACTGAATATGCCAAGGCCATCCAGGAAGGATTTACTCCCTCTTCCAATGGAGATTCATGGTCTTGGAGTGACTTACCCAGCCTGAGTTTCCTTACCACAGGCAGAATACTGTGGAGAAATCATGTGCAATGAAGGAGGTCTTCTGTATGAGCTGGGTTTGTTGGAGTGGTTGTATGCCTGCCAAATCACTACCACCCACTGGCACCAGGCATGAATGAATTGTACAGCCCAGAGGAAGCACAATTTCATCCTGATGCTGTTTAGCTATTTCTCAAAGGGACACCTCAGCTTCCAAGTCTCTCTTCTAGACATGACTACATCTGAGCCCACCATCCAGCCAGCCTTACAGGCTCTCATAGATCTTGGAAAAGAGTGACACCTTACCATAAACCAAGTGTTTACCAGCCTTGTTTGCCAATACATAAGCCCAAACTGGCAAAGAGACAGATAACTTAGAAAGTGATACCCAAGCCTCGCCACCCTCAAATGAGGCCTCAAAAATTCTTATCTCTGGCACACCCATTACTTTTCTACAAATGCTATGGGATGCAGATGTGAGCATAGAGCTTTGTCACCCACAGCTAATGGTAGGAATAGAAACCCCAATAGGAAACCTGTTGTTATCCACCAGGGTCATCTGTGGATGATAATTGTCCCTTTACTATTTTAACAGTGATTAAGGGGGAGAGATGTCCCATAACAAGCAGTATTTCATGACCCTCGTAGATATGGCTACATAAGTGAAATCAATTACCAGTTCTTACTGAATGTATGACATCCTGAGTGATGTGGAAGCAGTGGGATGGGAGTGCAGGGGCATGGAGAGTCCTAATTAAGATCACCCTACTGCTCCTAGAGGAACAGAAGATACTTCTTGAAAGAAAGACCAGCAGGAAAAATCAAAACAAAAATGGCAGTCTAATTGACTACCACAAGAACAAGCAAGTTGTCCATAGGGGAGCCAGCAAGACAAACACCATTTGGCAGAGAGAAACTCTCAAGATGTTGTTGACACAAACCATGGTCAATAGCCAGATTATGAAGTTATCCTGTAAGAAGTCTGGTGAAAGTATAAAGTTTGACCTTGAAAATGAAGGCAAATTGATAATGGTCTTCAGGGGCAGTGGGCATAATGTGAAACATGTTAGCCAGCTGAATTACTCCAGACCATTGTACCCCAAAGTCTCAATGAACATACAAGATAGACACAGTATCATGCAGGGGTGGTTTAATGGGGCAAACTATTTTGTGACAGTCAATGGTTAGATACCATTTATTTCCCCCTGCCTAGAAGATAGACCAGATTGGAGAGTTAATCAAAAGGTAAACTATATGAAAGCAGGAAATCTTCTTTTGCCATATCCTGGATGATGGGATTTATGTCCTCCATCTCTAGGTGCAGTCAATACTGGAAAAGTATTGATCACCCATAAAGGATTGGGCAAACTGATAGGAGATGT